TAGCTAGGGAGCAGAGGGGTGGGCCCAGCCCTGCTCTATAGAGCAGGGGTTCCCAAAGTTTTTATGTTATGGCCTGGCACCACAGCCCGGAAGTGGCCGCAGCCTGGCAAACCACGGCCCAGCAGTCGCAGTAAACTGAGGCCGGAATTTCCAGCTGGCAGACAGGTAAAGATACCCTGACCCCCTGGGCGGGGGGTTGGGCCATACCCTGCGCTGCCGCAGGCCCTGCAAAAGGAGCTGTGGCCTCTCCGCCCAGCTTCGGGGGCGTGGCGTTTGCTGGTCCGTGGCCACTTCTGGTCCGGCAGCTGACCTGCTGCAGCCCAGCACTAGGCTGTGGTCTGGGGATTGAGAACCCCTGCTCTAGATCACACAGCCCAGCACAGCCAAGGGCTGGAAAGCATGCTGGGATGCTGGGAGACTGTGATTTAGCTTGAACCAGGAAGAGGTCTGGGACAGAAGTTTCATAAACCAGTATGACTCAAATCAGTTAAGTCTGATACTACATTCAATCAGATTTATCTTAAACCAGTTTCACAGAGCTTGTGTTCTGTTACAGGTTTAAACCAGTTTCTGATGACTTAAATCGGTTAATGTGTAACTTCTGTACCTATCATAATGGGTAGATTTTAACAGCTGCTCCACACTCAGAGCACTTCAATTTCCCTTCCCCTTTAAAGTGGCAACAAAGCATGGTTGTCCATGCCCTGAGAATCTGATTGGGAGTTCCAAAAGAAGGAAAACTTGTTTCCAATTATCATTTATGAATAAAATGAAAGCCCTTTCCTTTCCTTTTCCGTGCCCTTGTGCCAAGGTATTTAGCAGAATTCACAGATTTGTTGGAATCTGACAGGCTGTGCTGTGAGCACGTTTGCTATACCCTATAAAACTGAAGTCTAAGGATAAAACAAACATATTGTACAATCTTGAAGGACTGTTGACGAAAAACAACTGGTTCAATTCATCAACTATTGCCTTGGTTTAATAAATCAATTTTAGGTGCAAAAGATGTTTTTCTGAAACAATATTTTTCTTGTGCATCAGCCTTGAAGGTAGTTGTATTTAACAATAGAAAATAAATTTAAACACTTTTTAATAATTTTAATTGAAGCTGTTTCCATCCCAATGCACTTAAGCAGAGTAAAAAAATTATGTACTATGAAAGATTTCTGTAGTGTTCTGCCTAAATGTATGTTAAACTACATAATTGCTTGACATACATATAGAATGAGCAAAATGTACCATCTCGTACAAATTAGGTGGAAATCTATCTTCAGTAAAATATTTAAAACAAAATGCAAGTCAAGTTTAAAATGATTTTCTGTTTGAATTTAAGTTGCCAATTAAAATACTGTTGCAATTCACCAAAGCATTTCACATTGCCAGTTTTACATTTGTTGGTACAGTTGCTCATTTTGCTGGACACTTTCTTGGTTGTGTGGAGAAACAGAAATATTTGTGTTTATTTTTAAAAATGTATCGTGGGTTAAAATGCAGGACTATCAGCTAAAAAGGGTTGGTCTCCGGTGGTATGGGCTGTAAGTCGCTTATAAAAACCTAAGGTACTTTAATAAGCCTTTTTCCAAAAAGATGAACAATAATTGTAAGTGAAATAAGAAATAAAATCGTGACAAATGCAGAGAGAACACTTTACATTTGAGGAAATGGTTATAACAATTCATACCCTTTACTGGGTTCTTAACTGACTTTTTTTTATTTGTTATAGACATAGAGTGAAATCTTTGTTCCACTGATGACTGTGACAAAACTGCAGTGGAGTTAGGATTTCATCCCTGAGCTTCTGGCAAACGTCTCAGTGAGGACTCAGTGCGCAACAATAATCAGAAAAGCAAACAGTGTTAGGATGTAAGGAACAGGATGGAAAGTGAGGAAAATATTGCCATTGTATAAGCTAGTGGTATGCCTTGACATAGAATGTTGCTTTCAGTTCTGGTCATCTCACTTCAAAAGTTGTAGCAGAAATAGAGTGAGTTCAGAGGTGATTGGTTAGAGGCACCTGTGACAACTGAAATTTGGGGATTTCTGTCCAGAGAGAGAGTAACCAGGTAATGTGAAGGATACTGAACTTGATGGATCCATTGGTCTGATCCATTTATTACATATATATATATATATATATTTAAAAGTATCAAATGTGTTTACTTTACAATTAAAAAGACCTACTTTTTCCTGAACAAAAACATCACAAGTTCTTAGTCAAAATTTATCCTTCCCTCCTTATGTTATCAGTGCTATGCCAGCTAAATTTGGTTTCAGTAGAACTTGAACAACTCTTTCCTTTCAAATATATGTATAACTTTGAAGATTTAGTAAGAAGAAGTTCCTGTTGACGCACAAGGAACAAATGAAATAAATAAAAACTTGTCATTCATTAGTCATTTGTGAACATATACAGGAAGCTAAGAGAGTTAGAAGGGATGTTTTTTGTGACAATTTCATTATGTAAAAGCTATGTTTAAGTTAATAAAGCTTTGGTTTTGAAGAAGATTGCGTTTAGCTACAAAAAACTTACTGTTACAAGTGTTAATATGTTAACATTCAGAACATAACCTCCAAACATCAGGTTTTTAGAACCTTTTGGGTGTCCAATGCAGACGAGCAGGTCAGCAAAGGTAAACCTACATCAGTAATGGACTCTAATTCCAATATAATCATTTGACTTTGGTGTAGTGTCCCAGGTTTGACTCTAAAATTTCTGGCTGGTTAAGAGGTTTGTTTTGCTACAGAATTCTCAACAAAGAATTGCCAAGGCTCGTTTTATTATTATTCCTTTACAGCACTTCCTGTGAGGTGAGCAAGACAACCTACCGCTAACTTACAATTCACAAAATTGAAATAGTGTAGTTACAATTTACAACACAAATTTAGTACGTTCCTTTTATTTCTGTATGACATTTCAGTGCATTATATTTGTTATGGGTTGAAAAAAGAAAACTAATAGTAATCAATAGTCTAGTTTTGGTTAGAGATGGGAAATGGCTGCATTTTAGAGAAATAGCTGTTGCAAAATCAGCAGTACGTGTAAAAAAAAAAAAAAAAAAATCCTCAACTACTGCTGTTCAAAGTGAAACAAATGTTGGTTTCCTCCCCCCTTCTGCCCCCCCCCCCCATGGGTACATGTAAGGCAGGCCTTTGAACTGTGACTTCTTACAAAATGTGTCTGTTTTTAAGATTTTAGTTCTGCAGGTATTTAGAAAATGAGCAGAACTGGCTTTGGTTGACTTGCAGTTTCACTGTTATGGGAGAGTATCCTAAAGAATGAGATTTTGGCATTTGGAAAACATGTACCAGACTGTTAACAAAGCTGATCAAGGCAGAGACGAAAATTGTTACTATGTTTGGTCAGTTTCTCCCTCAAAAATTCCTTTTCTGCAGTGAACAGAAACAGACTGACAGGTGTTCATTTGAACTGTATTAGATTGCTGAATCAGGCCTAATCTTAGCCTTCTGCAGAAAAAATCCTTCAAAGGTCTTTGTGTTTTTGTAAAATGAAAAAACTGATCATTAACTAAAAGCTCCATCTGCTCAAATAGTATATAATATATCTTGCTATCTAATGAAACATTAATTTGAAAGAGTTCTAGCAAATATTAGAGAAAATTTCTTACTCTAAGAAAATTAGATTCAAGTTTATATTTGACCAGAATACCCTAAATACTAACTGTAAGAGAAATAAACTATTAATTTTAAAGTTAGCCCTCCTTTGCCTTCAAGTCTTGTATATTTTTTTTTAAAGGAAAGAAACAATGCTTCACAGTATCCTCCACAGATCATCTGAACATTTAAAAAGGGGGTTGGGTGAAAGAAAGTGACCTGAAAATTTGTCTAACATTGTTTAATACTACTTATATACTGAAAAAATATATTAAAGAACATTTAAGGTTAGATGTCAGGATGGAGGATACCACAAGAAACAATTGCAAGGAAAGTTTTTTTTTTTTTTTTTTTTTTTTTTAATTCTGTGCCAGCAGTCCAAGTATAGGACATGCTTACTATAAACAGATTTTTCAGATAATTTAGCTGCCACTTTTTGACAAGCCCTACCAAGCACATGTGAACTGACATTTTAGAAGTTCATAACTTGGCCAAATTTGGACTGCTTGTCAGGCCAAATTTCCAATTTCCTGCCTTGTCTGAAAGGAGTGGAGGTCCCAGAATTGTGTGTTTTTAAAAAAAACCCAAAAACTTAGCATTCGCAAAACACTTCACCTAACCTCATTCTGAAAAACAGCTAAGCAAGCAACTTATGCTGAAATTTTCCAAAAAATATTCGGCGAAAGAGACTCTTTTTAGAGGAGATGTTAAGCCAGGATGATTATAGTTTAGCTCATTGGAAATTGGATCTTATAATGTAACAGGTTAGGCAACCTTAGCAATACTTTACTGGTACCCTTATATTTTCACATTATGGAGATTGGTGCTTTTTAACTTGCTTCTCAGTGGTCTTCTTTGTGAGCTGGGAACGTTGCAGCTCTCTCTGATCTTAATAAATTGTCAGTTCTAGCTCCCTACCCGGACAGGTCAGATATATTGGCCCTAATAGAACAGGAACTGAACAACTCTCATCCCACTCCCCACAACCTTCTTGAGCTCTCTACAACCAGCAGCTACACTCAATCTGGTTGTTTCAGAAAAGGTGGGTGCTGGGAGGAGAGGAAAAGCTTGTTTGACAGCCTTCTCATCCCCACTTCTCTCTGGTCTGGATTCATATTCTTAACGAGTTAAATAAAATCATTTGTTTGGTGAAAGTGCTTTTTCTGAGCATGCGTTTCACTTTCAAACATAAGTGGATATGCAATATTCTGCTTAATCACTGCTGGAAAGATATGAGTTTTGATGAAGTTTGGCTCATACTTTAAAAACTTCACTGCATGGTTGTTCTTCTAACCTGCATAATCATGTGAGTGCTTTTACACATCCTAATCCATGATTTTTAAAATCCTACATTAAAACTATGATGCGTTTACATTTTTGTCTTTCAGGGACAGACTGCGTTTGATGTAGCAGATGAAGACATTCTAGGATATTTAGAAGAATTGCAAAAGAAGCAGAATCTGGTAGGCTTTTATAGATAAAGTAGCCAAATGTCTGTTAAGAATGATGGGGGGTGGGGGTGGAGCACCCTTCCCTCCTGCTGCTTGGAGTTCAGGCCTACTTCCCCCCCCCCAGGAGGGAAGGGAGGAGTGGGCCTGGCCCCAAGGGTGGGGAGAAGCTGGGCCGCCATGGTGGGGGGAAGCAGCGGGCCCGGGGCCAACACGGTGGCAGCGGGTGGACAGGAGGAGTGGGCTTGGCGCTGATGTGAGGGTGGGGAGAAGGCCAGCTCCTTCCCTCCTCCAGCTGCTGCTGCGGCCTCCTTGGGCCAGGCCCGCTGTTCCCTCGCCACAGCAGGCCGGCTTTTCCCCTGCTCGGGGCTGCCCCCTGGACCCGGGCCCTGCTGGCCTTCTTCGTCCCCTGTATCCCCATGACAGAAGGCAGCCCGCTGCCACGATCGGAACGCTTTTTCACGCTCTGATTGGCTGTTTGTCACCCAGTCAGAGCATGAATAAAGCATTATGGACAGACAGACAGACAGACGTAGATTTTTATAACATTAGAGTGTCTCGTAATTATGGGGGGGTGTTTTTTAGGTGTAACCAATTCAAGTTAGTTAATGGACTTGATCTTCAGGTTTGACTTGTGCTAAAGTCAATAAATGCCACTTTAACTGTCCTTCCATTCCATTCTGTCAAATACTGCCTACGGATGTCAGTGCATTTAACCATGAAAGATGAGCAACATAGTTTGATTTAATTTTTCAGATATAGTGTTTTGAATATTTTGCATGATGTATTTATCCAATAATATTTGTATTAAATCTTTGTCACTTATCAACCTGTCAATTTCACTGCATTATTTTTTTATATCCCTGAAAGCTTCATAGTGAAAAACGGGAAAAGAAATCTCCCCTAATTGAATCTACAGCCAACTTGGATAATAATCAGTCACAAAAACCATTTAAAAAGTAAGTGCAGCATTACATGAGATGATATTCTAGATAAGAAAAACTTTGTAAGCTTCTACAAATATGAACTACTTATATGTCTGGTTGTTTTTATTCAAGTTAATAAATACTTTTATTTGAAATAAATCTTTTTCGTTCCAGTAAAGAGACTTTGATTATTGAGCAAGAAAAGAATGCAACCAGCATTGAGTCTCTAGAGCATGAGAAAGCAGATGAAGAAGAAGAAGGAAAGAAGGATGAGTCCAGCTGTTCTAGTGAAGAGGATGAAGAAGATGACTCAGAATCTGAAGCAGAAACAGGTAAATTTAGGTTTGGAGAAATGTTTTGTTTTAGGAGTCTGCTTTAGCTTATTTCACTGCATTAGAAGCATGTGAGGAAGGGGAATTGATTCTTTGTTCAAATTTTAGGGCATTTGTACACCTTTGCACCACAGTGCTGGGCGCTTTTAAAAGTGCCCAGTGCTGCGGCGCATGCATTTGTATAAATGGTGAAATGTGCGTCAGTGCTGAGAAAATGGCGGTGTGCTTTTGAACTGAAACGCATCAAAGGTGTTTTAGTTGAAAAGCGCACCACTGCCATTTTCTCAGTGTTAATAATGCACAGTTTGCCATTTATACAAATGGATGTGATGCAGATCAGACTCGATTAATTGAGTCGGCTAAACATGTCGGAGCAGACAAATGTATGTGTATAAATGCCCTTAGTTCTTAAAAGTTAAATGCATATAGCTCATACGTGCATTATTGCAATGGAATCATTCTGTATTTTAATGAGCCATTTTAAAATTGGTACAATGTATTAGACGCCCCAGCAGTGTCCAGAAAGGATGTGAAAATGGCAGGAAATAAAAGAGAAACAAGACCTAAGTGTGGAGTTATTTGCTCACCATGCTTGTGATTCAGAGCTTGAAATCTCAGAACATCAAATATCATTCTCTGTTCTGTCATTCTGAAGCACACTGGTTGTAATGGATTTGGCTCAGGTACATGCAAATGAACTCTGTGTTTAAAGTAAATATTAATGTATTCTAAGTCTCATAAACTAGTTTTAACAAAAGAAATATTGATAGTAATTCAGCTGCTTTATGCACCACTCAGGAATCATAGAACGTTAGGGTTAGAAGGGAGCTCAGGAAGCCATCTAGTCCAGCCCCCTGCTCAAAGCTGGGCCAACCCCCAACTATATCATCCCAGCCAAGGTTTTATCCAGTCAGGTCTCAAAAACCTCTAAGGATGGAGATTCCAGTCTTTCTAGGTAGCCTGTTCCAGTGCTTTACAACCCTCCTACTGAGAGTTTTTTTTCCCCGATATCTGACCTAAACTTCCATTAAGATTACATAAAGTAGGGCTGTCCAACTAGAAGGTTAGCATGTGGCCCATGGACTCCCACTTGGCTGCTGTTTGCCCCTCCCTGTTTGTTCCTACTGCAGCAGCTGGGAGAGGGCTGGACTGCCTGAGCTGTGCACGCAGCAGAGGAGCGAGCCTGCCCACACCACAGGTGTGTAGGGCAGGTGCTGTGCATGCATCAAGGGGAAGCTGGGCTGTCCAGACTCTGCAGGGAGCCCTGGATAGCTTAGCTGTCCCTCTCTCCCAGATGTGCACATTGCATATGCAGCAGCCCCCTTTCTCCTGGTTATATGGGAAGTTGGCCTGCCTGTGCTACAGAGCTCCCAATGCAGCAGAAGAGGGAGAGAGCTCCTGGGCATCTGGGCTTCTCCCTCTTTCCCCCAACTCCAGCTGTATGGGGAGCTGGGCTGCCTTTTGTGGGTGGCTGGGGGTGGGGTGTGGAGTTAGGCTGTTTGCACAGAAGTGGGGAGGGAGGAATGCTAGGCTGCCTGCATGGTGGTGGGGAGCTGATGGGAGCACCTGCACAGTTGTGGCCACTGGCTGCCCAAAAATTAGATGTCTGGTTTAATAAATAGATTGTGATGTGGAGGAACTGGCATTACAATAGGCCTGTTAGAAGCCAAGTTAGACATTTATACTTCTGGGGAAGGTAGACTCAAACACTGTTTAAAGGGGCGTATGCAAAGATTCAGTCTGTGTTTGAATGGGGTAGATGGTTTAGAGATGCACAGCTTTACCCTGTTGGACAACTTGTCCATCAAAAGTTGCCAGACTTCTTAAATCAATCCTTCCGCCTCTCGTCCCCCCACACATGCACACAATAGTACTTCTGTCCTTAAAAGACTTCATCATCTTTATCTGCTTATGTACGTCTCTGGAAAAGAATGCAGTTATTGCTGCAGAGAGAGACTCCGTACCAATTCTGCCATTTGCACATCTGACTTTTTTAGAAACTGCTAACTGAGTTGAGGGGAGAGGAGAAGCTTCCCTGCTGTCCACCTTGGGACGTTCAGCCTATAGTGCAGCTTGATTCTGTAGCATATCTCCATTTTTGTTTATATTACCAGGCAGCAGTGGTAACATATAAGGAATGGTTGCAAGATGAGACTGCCTGGGCATCCAAGGATTGCTGGGGCAGGGTTTTTCATCTGCATATGTTTATTAGTTGGATGAATAAGACTTGTTGCTTAAACTCATTCTGCCTGATTGATTGTGAAGGTATGTTAGGCACTCATGGAAGTAATAACTTTATATTAATGTAGCAACTCTTGTAATGTATAAAACAGATGGGAAATCTAGGCCCAGACACAGTTTTAAATGAGCACATTATATTCTGTAATACAAAATGTCTCTATGAACAAGAACCCATTATAATATTTGGAAAGAGATTAACACAAACATTACTTTTTACCTATTTTAGAGATGTGTATAAAAATATCTAGAGAAAAATGTAATAGTTGCACTAATCAATGTTCCATTTTTAGGTTATTACCTTTTTAACCCAAATTTTCAAGAAAACAATGGTTTTTTCAAATAACTGCAGCATTTAAGCTTTGCTTGATGCTTTTGTCTGATGAAAATGTAACACATTTTCTTGCACATACATGCCCTCAAATAAGGTGTACACATATTTTTTTGTGAAGGCAGAATGAAGAAAAAAATGTTTTCCCACCAGAATTATAGCTGTATAGAGCAAAGACAGCCTAATCTGCAATTTGCAATCCCTTTTCTTCTTAACTGATGGCTGAAACTTCAGCTGCTGCTGAAGACTGGCTTTTATGTGTAGCTGTTATTTTGAAAGGACCTGGAAAAAGTCTGCAAGCTTTATTATCTGCCAGACTAAAAAGTTTGCAAGATTGTGAAATAGGAGAACAGAAACCAGGAGTAGCTAGCATGCAGTAAACTTGCCAGAAGAAAGGTTAGCTTGATCATTGGAACATCATGATCGTTAAAAAAAGGGGCAAGTGAAGGACAATGGGTCGTTAAGTCAGCTGACTCCCTCAGCTGCCTGAATAGAAATGCCACTGTTGCTGCTGGGGAGTTGGTTTGGCAGGAGGAATCAAAGTGAGCTGCTCCCTATTCTGGGCAGAAGAATCAGCTTCTCTGCTTAAGACCCAGGGAAGCTTCTCTGCTTAATTTTGAGGTGCTGTTTTTGTGGGAGAAGGGTATCTGTGGAATAAAGGAAACTACGGGCTTGAAATACACCAAGGCTGAGTTTTAGGTGCTTTATTTTCTTTTCTGTTTGACTTGCTACTTAGTGGTCATTGGTGAACTACAGTAGATTCATACCCATTATCCAAAAGTCAGTTTCTTTATTTGCTTTGGCCCTCTCTGGCCTTTGTTGTGGGTTCCCTAGAAACTTTTAAGGAGCTCTTTCTGTCTGAAAGATATTTCACAGGCTTCCTTCTCCAGCATATCTTTGTCGCATCACTTTTGAAGACCGTTAAGAAAAGAGAAGAAAAGAAAAAGAAAAAAAAAATGGCATCAGCTAGTGATGGTTCTATTAGAATTAGGTTAGATGTTCTTACTGCTATTCTAATGGCATGCTGCAAAATATACCTCAAACCTAGAGGGCATAACATTCCTTTAAGTTTGTAGCCCTCCCCTAGGGAGACTGAGGTCTGGTAGACTCGAGTCTCCTGTGATCCAGCATGCAGGGCTGGCTGCCTTGGTCAGTAAGCCAGCTACAGTGTTTCTTGAATTCTGTGACTCTCTGGTAACTGTATTCTCTTCATTACTAGTGGACAGTTTTGTGCCAGGAAAATTTGACTGAGACGCAAGAATTAATTTATGTAAACTCTGGGTTTTTTTAATATCAACAAGGCTTTATCATACTTTATTTGGCAAGCTACAGAAGTTAGACTTTTCCCTGTAGAGCTGTCACAAAGTTCCAAGCTTGCGCTCTCCCTTTTTTCCCATTATTCATTTTAAGGTTGCGTTACAACAAACATTCTCAGAATGTTAAGGAACATTTTAATTGGCTGTTATAAAGCACTTTAACGAGTGTTGCAGCATTGCAGATTCTCAGGATCTTTATCAAGTGTTGGGGTGGGGTATTATGTGGGGTATTATGCTAGGACCTCTGCTCTTGGAAACTATTGATTATGTGAGAAGCTCAGATTTAAAAAAAAAAAAAAAAAAAAAAAAAATTCAAAATAAGTTAACTAATGAACTCTAAAGGTATAGGAAACTATAAAGCAAGTAGAGCCCCAGCATTGTGTAGGTTTTGGTTGATTTGTTTGGGTTTTTTTGGGGGGGGGTTCTTCCATTTTCGTGTTAGTTTACGTCTCATGACTCTGGAAAATTTCCCACGGGTCTTCTCATGTGGCTTAACTCGGTCTTATTTACAGGCCTTCTCTTCCTAATTTCAAATAATTTCAAAACAGCTATTGAGCCGTTTCTCTAGCTCTCCCTTCCTTTTACCCCTAATACTTGCATCCTCTTACAGCTGCTTCTTCCACGTCAGAATTCGCAGCTTTACTCCTCATTTGTTTATCTAGGACTGCTTCACCTACATTTGTCTCTATACTTTTCCCAACTTGTATGCACAGTCCGCACGACCTGTATAATTAAAGGATGTCAATTTAGCTCAGCCTTTTGCCACTTTTTGAGTCTCCCCTATGATTGGGAGAAGCTTATAACTAAAACAGATGCCTCATACACCAACATTTCCTCTATCCTATAAATGTTGTCACAGTCAGTAACAAAGTTGTTTTTTTACAAAGTGCCAAGGTATCAGGTAAGAATTTGAAAGTCAAGCTTGGGCTATTTGCCACATGCATGACCAAAAATAGCTATGTTCTAATGAACTGTTTTCTAACAGTTTTATTTGTGTTAGAGGACTGTCAGTTCCCTTGGGCTAATAGAAGCTGATAGCAGTAGAATCTTAAATGGCAAATATGGCTGAATTAATAGGGGGACAAAAATTATTGGAGTAAGGATTTTTTTTTTTCTTTTCACACTAAAAACATGCAGTACATCTTTTCATTGTACTTTATGCCTTAGTGTATTATCTGCTTTGCCATCAGGGTTATGGGCTAGCTAAGGTAAGCGACTATTTTTTTTGTAGTTTGTCCAGTATAATAAAGGGTCTTTTAAAAAGTTTTGGATTGCTTTTAGATTTGTTTCTGTATTTGCAGGCTTAATTGAGAGCCAATCTGCGGCACACGTGTGCCACAAGCATCAGGCAGCCTGTGTGCATGGCATGTGGCAGATGAAGGAAAGGATAGACAGCACTGTGGCAGACAGGGCAGAAAGCAGAGCAGTCGAATGGGCAGAGAGCATAGGGCAGGGAGCAGAAAGCAGAGCAACAGATTGGATAGGGGAAAGAGGTCAGAGTGGCACTTGAGTGTATGGAGCTAATTTGTAGTTTCAGCACGTGTACCGAAAAAGTTGGCCCCTGGTGTTTTAGAGCAAAGTGCTTTAGTATGCATGTAACTTTTAAGTATGTGAGTAGTTTTACTGGGACTTGATTATATGCTTAATGTTGTAGGTACGTACCTACCTGATTTGCGATTTTAATGCAGAGAAAAAATGTTGTTGGAATATAGGAAAAAGTAGCAACCTTTCTAAGATTTGTAAGAAAAAAGCCTTTTGTAATGAGATATTAGAATGCCAAAAATTGGAGAGCAAGAAAGAAAACCAAGAATGCAAAATAAGATGCTATTGGCTGGGCTAATTAAGGACTTCACCCAATTCAGAAGAAGTGTAACTTTATATTTTAATGTAAGTCAATACATTATAAATGACATTACCAAAAATCTTTTGCAGACAAGAACAAACCTCTAGCTAATAATGCAAATAACGTCAGTACGCAACCCACTTCCGTAGCTGTGACAGCACCTTCGATACCCACTGGTCAGATGGCACCTACATCACCTGTTAAGAAGGTAAAACAAAAAATAATTGCTGTACATACATTATGCATATTTTGAAGTATTTTATTCTGTATGCCTATGTTGATTACAGTGGTTACAATGTGAATTAATTGTCTAGTGAGTCTGAAAATGTGCAAATATTCTTGGACTATCCAGTGGTCATTAGAACATTTATTTCCATTAAATATTTCCTTAAGGTACTTTCTGAAATATTTTAAAAGCTGTGTCTTTTATCATATTTTATTGAGACTTTCTACACACATTGCAGACTTGACTTGTAACAAAAACGAGTATTGGAAGACAGTTACCTATCATAAGCATCTTATTTATTATCCTACTATCAGTTTTCAAAGAAGGGGGCAGTTCCTCTATTTAAATGCAAGTGAAGCAGAGGAAACAAGAACCTCAGTTGCATATCTTGATTTGCACTCCCAGTGCAGCTGAATATGAAAGGGAAGAATTTGTGGTATTCCAGAAGAGTTCAAGTATTCACTGTTCCGGAACACGGGAAACGAGAAGGGAGCAACTTTTGCCAAAATCTAAGAACTGAAACAAGCTAATGGCGAACAAGGATTTTTTTAAACTTCTTTTGTATCCATGCTGTTTTGTGATCTGTTTGCAAACACTTTAAACCAATGTAACTGATTGTGGGTAGACAGTTAGACAGCGTTCAGTGTTGTTGACACATACAAGGTAATGTGTTGGAGTAAGTTCATCTGTTCATAAATTTAGGTAGATGGGCCAAATAGAAAATTAACTTCTAATTAATATTAAGTATTATTGGCTCTGAAGTTGAGGTCCATCTCTGTGGTTGTTGCTGTTGTGACATACCAATTTAACTTTCAGTGAACTCCAATACCTCAAGTACTCCTAGCAGTGTTGCTGCAATAATGCAAAGTCTGGAGCAGGATTAGATAGTCAAGTGATTAGCTCCCTGCTATCATTTGAAAAACTTACTGTCTTTGTGGCTACCTTCTGTGAAAATTTGAGGTTGCCATTAGCAGGTATATGGAGGTATTACTTGAGTTGGAGTATTCAACCTCCCTTGTATTCAGTTCTAAGACGAGGGACCGCCCCCCATGTGAAATACAGGGGGGTGCCTCATCTTAGAATCAAGTAAATACAGTAAGTCAGATTGATTGTTGAGTCTTAAAAGGGGGGGACATCATAATTTGTCATATAATTACGTGAAGGATGATAACCTCCAAGTTGACAGCATTAAGGCTCTCTTTTTCAAGGGGAGACCAGATCTATAGAGGTGTTGATCATTCTTAGGGTATCTAGATTGTGGTGGATTGTTTTTTGGCGGTTTTTTTGTTTTTTGGCCCTTCACTTTTCCACTTGCACAAGTAATAGGTTTATCTAAGAGTTTCTTCTAAAAGAATCTGTGCTTGTACTGTCTGGTATTGCTATATTTTAAACTCTTAAGGTTGTATCTTTGTCTCCTTAACAAGTTTCTCTCCTTAAGACACTCATTGTCAAGCTCTTGCAAAATTTAACATCAATTTTTTCAGTGTCTATTCTGTACTCCTTCAGGGACAGAAGAAATGGTCTTGATGGTAGATTAATTTTAGGACTAATACAGCTTTACTGAACTGTAGCCCTAGGTACCACCTTGGTTTAATCCATAGGAGCTGAAAGAGAATGTCTGAAATGATCAGTATAAACTGATTTAGGTCTCACTCTTGACTGCAATGTACTTGGGCTGTATGCTGAAGAGTTCTCCAGGGTTTGGAACAAAGGAAGGATTATTTTCCCGACAGTTCTAGCTTTAGCCTCTTTATTGGTTGTACTCTGACTATATTGATGGAAATTTATGAATCAGTTTTAGTTTCTCACACATCTGTCCAATGCCCAGGTCCTTATTATGCAGTGGATCTTAGAACAGATTTGATAGTGTGCACAAGGTCTGTGCTTTGTGTGCAGCATTAGAGATTTGCCCTTCAGGACTGTAGTGGTAAGAGTGCCCTCCACAGCCTGGGGTGAGAAGTCCATCTTAGTGGACTGTTAGCTTTGAGTTTGAGTTTTTCCTCTCAAAATGTAATGTCCACAGCTTTTAGGAAGCTTCAACCATTGAGGAAGGCTAGGAATTAGGGCTGTCAAATAATCAACATTATCATGCACGATTAATGGGTTAATTGCTTTTTGCATTAGTTTTTTTAATGTGTTAATCATGCACATGGTTTTTGCAGCCTGGGCTCTGCTCCATTGCTATCACTGCTGGCTCCAGGCTGCCCAGTGGGGCAGCGGTGGCAGTACAGAAGAGCTTCAGGGCAGCCCGGGTGCAGGCTCCAGGCTGCTGTAGCTGGGGGGTGGGGGGGTGGGGTGGGGTACAGGCACACAGATGCACATGAGCAGCTACAGCATGAACATGGCCAGGAATGCAACCTGGTGGCATGTAGAGCAGTACCCAACAGGTAAGTCTGTGGAGGGGAAGAGGTGGGTGGGGGGCAGATTGAGGCTCCCACAGTGAAGGAGGGAGTGAGGCAGGGGCTGGGATGAATGGGGTCTCAGGGCTGGGGCAGGTTCTCCCCCCCGCCCCCCTGGGTGGGCCTTCTGTGGCTCTGTCCCACAACCTGTCCTGGGGCCCCATTCACCCCTGTCCAGGTGCCACTCCTTCCCTCACCATGGGGGGCCTCAATCTACCCCCTCCCCCACCCCTTCCCCTCCACAAACTTACCTGCTGGGCACTGCTCTGTACACCGCCAGGTTGCATTACTGTCGGGTTACCATATTTCCAGCTTTAAAAAAGAGGACACCTGTGAGCAGAGGTTGTAATATGGTTGTGAGGTGGGCAGTAATGTCTCTGTCCCTCACTCCCAAGCCACAGCCCTGCTACTGCCCTTCACTCCTGACCTACAGTACCCCACATCCTTCCAGGACATGCAGAGACCCTCCCCTCCCCAGGCTCCAAACCTTACATGCACACATACCCGCAGCCCCCCACACTTTCACAGCCTTCCTCCCCCTCAGACACCCCCCACATACCCCCAACCATACAAAGCATCTGCATAATTTTGAGTTTTTAGCCGTGTGATTAAAATCGTGATTAATTGTGACTAATTTTTTTAATCACACAACTAATCATGATAAAAAATTTTAATCGTTTGACAGCCCTACTAGGAATAAACCTTTAGGTCAGTGCCTTAAAGAATTGTTGATATTCTCTGAATATAAGGACCAAAGCTGTGTTAAACATAGGCACACCTCTTCCAATGACTATGAAGTGCTGGTGCTGTTCTGGCTTTTTCAAAGTTGATATGCTTAACACTAGTTCTTGCATTACAGATGCAATACCTGCTTTAATCAAGATGGTATGCTTTTCTGTTAAACTACAAATATGTAGTGAGCGATGGAGGGAAATCTTAAATCTAATCTTGTTCAAGGACTGAGATGTGGTTATATCATTTACTCTGAACAAGTTAGGACAAGAGACCTGTTGCTGAAAAATATGAAATGTGGTTATGTTATGGTTCTGCCATCTTGCTTTTGATGGTGGATGATAGGGAATCTATGACAGGAGATAAGTCATCCTAGATATTTCATGTTCCTTTGCTCTTCCCTTAAAGAATGCCACCACTGGGGACACGACACAGGGCTTGATGGATCATTGATCTGACCCAGTATGGCTCTATTCTTATATACGCAGGCAGGTTTTGAGTAAAATAAACATTTTTAGAAGATACAAAGAACCTACATTTTATAAACTGCTTGCTACTGATTCCTGATGTGAGAAAAGTGGTAGGATGCAGAACTGAAATGAGTCAGTATAGATGGAGGTTGAAAGGATTTAAAGTTGTGAAAGGCTTTTCAGTAAGTAAAAGGGATTGCCCCCACTAAAAGAAAAAAATCTTTTTAGTTTGGTATCTGTCATCAATTGCCATTTAATGTGCATTTTACTACCCAATAACTATGATTCTTTGAGAGATTCATTTTCAGTTGACATGATGGGTGCATTACTCATGGTTGGCCATTTTGACTGACTTAAATTCTGTCCAACTTTCACATCTCACCTCAACAAATCTTGCTGTCTTTTTGCTTCAAGCTCCAAACTTGCAACAACATCCCTAGGTTTTATTGCTTTGACACCCACCCTAATATCTCTCTTACATTAACTGAAGATATCCCTAATAAATACAGACCCTTTTGGCCAGCGTTTCATAAGCTGTGGGTCACAAGAATATGTGAAAGGGTCATGAATACATTTTTAAAAAATGGCTTCTCCTTTAAAGAGAAAAACATGGGAAACCATGGCTTTTTCCTTGCAAATGGGCAGAGTTCCAGCCTGCAAGGGGTTGTTTAGGGCTCCCCATGCCCCACACACCCCCACCCCCTGCCCCACACACTGAGTGGCTGGGGCCTGGGGGGAGGGGGCAGCAGATTGGGAGTGAGGGGCACTGGCCATCAATGTTTACAAATGGGTCCTGGTACAAAAAAGGTTGAAAACCACTGCTTTATACTGTGCCTGTCAAATGCCACAAGACTCTGAACTTGAACTACTTAATGGTGTTAGGATGCAGTTTTCTTTTCTAGATCTGAAGGATTAGGATAATCTTAATGCCATGGTATACAGCTGCAGCAGTAGATCTGGGAGCAGGGTGAGGAGGGTCTGGCCACATCCCCCCTTCAGCTGTTCTGTGCGTGCATGATGAGTTCTGAGCTTACTGCCTAGTTAGTGCAGGTGCTTGTGAGCTCTGGTCCGAGCCCCTACTTTTTGCACAGTACCAGGTGTCAGTGCTTTTACCATTCATACCCTCCTTTCCCCTCATGCTGAATTCAG